TTTGACTAATTTAACCCTGAAAAAGGCCGTTCAAAATAAGCCATTTTAGTGGTGACGTCCTGATTTAGAATGATGAGGTCAGCCACCATTAAAAATGGAAAACAGGGAGATTTCTGGATTGTTTTTTTTACCTCATTCTGCTCGTTCCCGCTTCCCCTCAGAGCTTTGATCCCCAAAACGACGGAGCTGATGACCACACAGAGCTCCAGGGTGCACAGGACGATCAGGATCCCGTTGACGCCTCTCAGAAGCACCTGAGAGGACACAAAGAAAACAGAAGAGGAGCTTTTTACTTAAGGTGAAGAAGGAGAGTCACCTGGTTATCAGAAACACATCCAACAGGAGAGAAAATATCTCTCATTTGGACTTTTGGTGCAACAGAGAAACAAAAGAGACTAAAAAAGCCTATTGCTGCTGCAGTTTTCTGTGCTCATAACCTTAAAACCGAAAGAGATTCTGCAAATCTGATGGCTTCAATCAATTCCTGACATAATTCCTCTCTTATTTGATATGCTACATGACCCTCTTCCCTTTGGATTAACTTGCCCCCTGATCCAATATGGCGGCTTTCAAGATGGCCACCATGTTCCAGAAACAGCCTGAAAGACTGACCCCCTCATTTTTGGCAATTGGATTTCAATAATAAAAAATAAAAAACTTTAAAAACTTTTTAAAAAATGTGAAAAAAGGCCAAAAGGGCGTAAAGTGAATTGTTTTCTATATGGTTTATACCAATCAAAAGCATATTCCATCAAATTTCAAACAAAAAAAAGCCCCAAATCGACTCAAATTCGCTCCTCCGGACTCACCAGAGTAATGTTTTGGAGATCCATGCAATTGTGCCACTCGCAGTAATCCCCGAGAGAGATCTTAGCGATATTAATGCTGTAGATCACAATGGCCGCGATGCTAAAACCAACTCCAGCCAGGTTCAGGATCACATTGATCGTGACCTAAAACACAAGAGAGGTCCGTTAGTGCACAAACACACAATTGTAAAAGGTGATTCCAGGCATACAGTACACTGTTACTCTTCGCCATATTTATTCTGTGGCTTATTAGGGGGGCCACTGTCAGCGGCGCTTAGAAAGACTTAAGTAATACATCGGTTCTGGTACCGGGCGGGCGAAGCCCGCTTAGAGGGCTTTAGTCAGCGCCCGGTTCTGGTTCTGGGGATTGGACCCAACCGGGTCAGAACCGGACCGGGGCCATGTCATACCTCGTTGCAAAGGTCTTTTTCTCAGCTTTCAGCCAATATGACCCCTGACCTGCTCAAACCAATTGCATTCGGTCAGCGGGCCCCAGAGCTCAGCCGGGTCCCTCCATCACTGCGTTTCTCCCTCAGGCCCTCTCATAGGCG